ACACTGCTTAAAATACCAGGCATGTGCATAAGGGCATGCCAGATCAGCTGAGTACAGACAGATAAACAGACCAGGAAGGAACCAGCAAAGCCAGCCTGGATAGTAAGAACTCTTGGGCAGCCCACAGGATCCTGAGAATGAAAACTTGGCTATCACTCTATAAGTTCTGTTATACAACAAAACCTAGCTGTTACAGGTGATGAATCGATACCTTCTTTTTTCTCTCCATTGTATCCAAGGAATTGACCTGTGTGAATTTCATCACATCAGGAAAGAGAGAAAAGGGAGATTTCATTTCTTCACCTCTTTCTTGTTTCATCACTAGAGTCTGATGTGTTTCTTGATCAAATGTCTTTCTTCCTCATAGTCTTACATATGCAGATTTTTCCTACAGTACTACCTGTGTAGGGGTGATTTGGGATTGCCCATATTACTGAGTCTCCCTTGTGATCTTTAAAAATCCTGCCTAGAGCCCTGTTATTGTCTCTTATTAAGCTCTTCCAATTTTCCTAATTTGATTATGCCATCTGTTTCTTGCTGGGACCCTGACTGAGAAGTAGGCCTTATCCAGAAGGTACCATCTTGGCAAAGACCTGAATGATCCAACAGAATGAATCATGAAGAGAGCTGGGGGAATTGCCAAGCTCCTGCAGGACTGAAGAAGCAGGATGATTAGGGGCCAGAGAGCTGGAGGGTGTGGTAGCAAAAAAAGATCAAGGTGGTGATGTGTGTGTGATCAAGATATGGGTACAAGGGCCAGGGCAAGTAAACCATACATGGTCTAATTGGCCTGTGTACGGACTTTGGCTTTTATTTTGAACAGAACAGGGACAATTGGAAGCACATACATCTAATTAAATCTAATGAGTTTGCTTTCTGTTATGTGTGGACAGTGGCTCTCTGTGACTCAGTAGTGAATTTCTCCTCCCATTGCTGAGCCTGCTGATGAATGTGTGGGCGTGCTCAGTCAGCCCAGCATGCTTGGGTGCAAGTTCAAGTCTTTGTGTCTCCCTTGATGCTGTGGGTGACATGACCTCTCTTTATAGTTGGGATTCAGACTACAGTGTCTTTTTTTTTGTTAGCATATTCTTTTCAGCTCTGCTAATGATTTGGGAGTGGACACATTTTTCATACTCCTTTTCTTTCTTTCTTTCTCTCTCTCACTCTTTCTTTCTTTCTTTCTTTCTTTCTTTCTTTCTTTCTATCTTTCTATCTTTCTGTTGTTGTTAGAGTCAATAGGCCCTTCTATGCTGGCTTCAAAAACTACTTATCTAAAGGGTCTTTCTTGTATAATAGAGAACTAACTGCCTAACTACTTCAGGGGGAAGAATACAAGGCATTTAACAGAGAAATACTGTCTGCTTGCCCACCTCTTAGAGATGATGGATATTGTTTTTACTATTTAAAAAGCAGGGACAGGCTTGGGAGATGGCTCATCAGGTAAATGATGCTGAATCTTTTCAGCACTTTGGCACTACACCTGATGCTGAATCTTGGGAACCATATGGTGGAAGAAGAGAACCAACCCCCACAGGTTGTTCTCTGACCCCCACGTTCACACAATAAAATGTATAAAAAAAATTAGAATGCAAGGCATTCATTTGCATGTACATTGTATACATACAATAACATATAAGTTTGAAACATATTTTGATGATTTAATGGCTATTTCAATAAAGGTGGCATGAAATATCGATCATTTCCTGAGTAAATAAATGTAAACTCCACTCTCTGCATTGTGCGACCCTTCCACCTTATCTCCAACCTTGGAGGATGAGACAAGAGTATCAGAAATTTGAGTCAAGTATGAGCACCTCAGGGAGATTCTGTGTACTTGTGCTGGTAGGTGGGGAAGAGGGTGGGTGGTACTGGGGGAGGAGCACAGTCTCTGAAAAATAGTAGCTTTTGGAACTGAATATATTTATAAACCCCAATACAGTTTTTAGCTATGGTGGTTTGAATATGCTTGGCCCAGAGAGTGGCACTATGAGGACATAAGGCCTTGTTGGAGTAGGTGTGGCCTTGTTGGAGTGGGTGTGACCTTGTTGGAGTAGGTGTGGCCTTGTCAGAGTGGGTGTGGCCTTGTTGGAGGAACTGTATCACCGTGGGTGTGGGCTTTGAGACCTTCCTCCTAGCCACATGGGAGACAGTCTTCTCCTGTAGAGTCTCAGCTCCTGTAGCACCATGCCTGCCTGAATGTCATGCTTCCCTTCATGATGTTAATAGACTGAATCTCTGAACCTGTAAGCTAGACCCAGTTAAATGTTTTCCTTTGTGAGAGTTGCCTTGGTTATGGTGTCTCTTTACAGCAATGGAAACCCTAACTAAGACACTAGCCCAGTACTTGACTTACATATATTTCAGACCCATGCTAGTGAAAGTTTTGTTCCTGTCTGGCAGCTTATAGAACTTTTTTTGTTTTTAAAGTGTTTACCTTTGGTGTTGTCAATGTGCTGGCTGCTGAGTTGATCTCCAGGGTAAATTGACTTCACACAGTTCTGGATTACACCTTTGATCTTGCTATTCCTGTTTTGTTTTGTTTTTGAGATAAGGTTTCCCTGTGTAGCCCTGGTTGTCCTAGAACTCCCTCTGTAGACCAGGGTGACCTTGAACTCTCAGAGATCCACCTGCTTCTGGGGTTAAAGTCATGCATCACCACTGTCCAGCTCATCTTGCAATTTCTATGTTGAAAGCTAGTTTCTAATGCAGTAGGATTAAGAGCTGGGGCTATAGCTCAGTGGTAGAGCAATAGCCTAGCACATACAAAGCCTTGGGTTATCCCCTGCATGCTGAGGAGGAGGTCAGGATGCACTTGGAGGTGATTAGGTCATAATGGATAAATCTCAAGGATGGGATTAGTGTCATTATCAGAAAAGTGTGACCATGCATGATGAAGCATGTTTGTGATCCCGTCACCTGGGAGACTGAGGCAAGAGAATACTGAGTGAAAGTAAATCTGAGCCACATAGTGCTTTGGATTCGAGCTTGGGCAACATAGTGAGACCCTGTGTCAAGAAACGGGGAAGAGCGGGATATGGGGTAGGAAGAAAGGTTTGAGGGGGAGAGGGTCCTAGGATAGTATAGAACACATACTTAGAATACACAAAGCCCACAGTATGACCTTTCAATAGCATCAGGGAGAAAATAAAAAGAAACAAAAACAGCTTTGGGAGTCTTTACCCCTTCTGACAAGAGAGGACACAGAGAAGGTATTGTCTGTGAAGCAAGGCCCCCACCAGATGACAAATCTGCTCGTTCCTTGCTATGGACTTTCTAGTCTATAATGCATGACATATTTCTATTATCTCTAATATATTCACCCAGTAAGGTATTTTATCATAGAAGTAAAAGTGGGATAAGATCTTTAAGAATCAGTATTTCCCTACAAGATCCTAAACTATCAGTTCTGGAGAGGCAGGCAATTTATTTACTGAGAACTGGGTGTCTGGGTTCAAATTTTGGCTTTGGTATCAGCTAGGTACATAGCCTTGGTCAAATTGTTTCACACTTTGTGCTTAGTTTCCTTATTTGAAAAATGTAATAACTCTACTATTCAACTTGGTCTGTGAATTAAATAAATTGATATACTTAAAAAGTGCCATGGGCATAGCAACGTATCCAATTAGGACCAAATGAGCTTAAGAAACACAGAAATAAGCCAGGGGTGTGGCCCACGCCTTTAGTTCCAGCACTTGGGAGGCAGAGGCAGGCGGGTCTCTGTGATTTTGAGGCCAGCTTGTCTACAAAGAGAATTCCAGGACAGCCAGAACTACAAAATGAGAGCCTATCTCAAAAAACAAAAAAGAAAAAAAAATCAAATACAGGAATAGACAAAGGAAAAAATAGTTACTCAAATTTGTACTTGTGTATTTGGAAAACTTATAGGAATATCATCAAACTAATAATACTGAAAAGGTAATTACAGAACTCCCATCTCCCCAAGGATATAAGCGATTGAATACAGGAGCAGGTTCAAAATTAATTTAGATAAATTCTTATAGAACGAATGCATTATAAGTTATTGGAAGACCTAGAGGTGGTGTGTAGAATATAATTACTGTTCTGAGGTAAAGTATAGCAAACCAAGAATTTCCTGTTAGCGTATTATAATGGCATTGCAAATTTAACTTACAAAACAGCTTGCTAAATTCCTACCATAGAATGAGAATCTCTAGAGATGTACTCAGGCTTCTTTTAAAACTTCCTAATGGTTCTAAAATTGCATGGGGTTTCAGAAACAGCCAGGTAATAGATTTCTATTCCTTTTAACATATTTATTTATTTATTTATTTATTTATTTATTTATTTATTTTTAAATGCAGTTGTTTTCGTTTCTGCTGCGTTGTGCCAGGTGTCACAGACTTCCCCTGTGGGACCGACCATTCCTCCCCATTTCATTAAAGAAAATGTTTGACTGTAATAAATGTTATATAACAGTAACACTCGTGGTAAAGTTTTTGAACCAGCTCTCTTTAGATCAAATTCCCCCTTAGCAGAAATTCCTGGGCCTTGACGACTATACAAGTAGAAGCACAGGCACAGCAGGAAGAAATGAAGTCACTGAGCAGTAGCTACAGGAAGCAAGCTGGCTCTGAACCCTTGCCTTTATGAGTACTCCGATTCCCCCCGCCCCCGCCCTCCCCACCTCAGCCATGACGATTTACAAAATCTCCAAATATCAAGAATCTGTCCTGTATCTCCCAAAGCTGCCAACAGGACCCCCGGCTCTGTGCAGTGGCATCTTCAGACAGTTTGCTTTCACACCCCACAGCCAGTCAGTGAGATGCTGAAGCTCAGCCTGCACCACTGCAACGACCAGAGTTGGGTTCCACCTTCACTCCTACAGCTAGCTGCAGTGAGCCGCCAAGTCCTTGTCACGCATGCGTGCGAGGGGGCGGGCGTCCAAGCCGAGGAGGCGGGACTTGTTCTTGAAGTAGGTTTTGTATTGGGTGTCTCCAGCAGGCCCCGCCCCCGACTGGTGGAGGCGGTGCGCCGACCACGTCGGGCAAGGGAGCGGGCTGCGCCTGTGGCAGAAGTGAGGTAAGCCATGCGGTGTGGCTGATCGTCCACCGGGGGCTGCCGGGTGGGCAGTCACCGCATCGGGTCCGGCTGCAGCCGCGCCGGGAGGGAGGGGAGGCGAGGGCGACCGAAGCCAGAGGACTTAGGCTGGGCTGCAGGCCGGCGGCGGAGCAAGTGGCGGCAGGGCCGGGGCGGCGCGGGACCCGGGCAGGGCATTTGACCTGCTGCCCCTTCTGCTGGCCGGTCGAAGATTCCAGCTCCTGGAGGATCTGGCCTTGAGCGGTTCCCTGGTCTGCGGCTCCAGAGCCGGCTGGCTGTGGAGGGGCTTGGCAGCTAGAGGAGCTGGCATGATCCGTCTAGCTTACCTGCCTCAGGTTGCAGTTGTTCCCCTTCCCCACTCCCCCTTAACCCGGTCGCTGGTCCTGGGCAGTTCAAGGGATTCTGGTGTCCTCCTGTTTGGTCTATGGTTAACTGTCTATTCCCCGGGACTCAGATGCAGCTTTTGTCCACTTTAATGAGCAGAGCCTGTTTTCTGACTCAGATCTTTGGCTCTGAAGAGTTTATATGTGGGGCTTCTGAATGTTCAGCAGCTAGGTGGATGTTTGCAGGCATCTGCAGTTGTGTAGGTTTAATCAGAGTTTGTTTCAGCCATGGTGCCTTGACCCCTTGTTTGTAGTTTTGGATTCAGTGAAATAATCCTTCCCCTTATACAGTCATTGACTCATTCATTGCAAACTTTTAAAATGATTTCCTTGGTGGATATTTCCTGCCTTTGCTTTCATTTAATATGAAAGTGCTAGTCTGAGTTGATAAGATTTGAGATGGATTTTTTTTTTTTTTTTTTTTTTTTTTTTGGTGTTGTGGTTCACTTTCAGGATCCAGATTTAGATGCAAAAGATGGAGCCCTCTCGGACTTGATTCAAAGGTCTTCCCCCTTCTAATAAACCCTAAACACTTTGGAGTAATCCCAGTTAACAGTGCCATTGAAGACCACAGACAGATGGGCTTCCTATCAGAAAAGTAAAGGGATGAGATTACACGTATTCTGTAATTTTGGAATGCTCGAGGAAAGATGGGCATGCAGCAGACTTACTAAACTGTGTTAGCAGCTGGGAACCAGCTAAATCAAAAACACATGACGTCATTTATGGTTGTGTATTTTATGCTTCAGTGCCAAGTGTTTCTGTTCACAAACGCTTGACTAGCAAGCAAGTGCATGGTTACAATTTTGATTGACATCCAGTTTCTGCAAAGAAAGCACCATGACTCATCTAAATTTTGAAGTGTAATAATCATGAACTTTTAGTTATATATAAAGATACTCCATAGAGACAACTGGACAAGAGTGCAGTTTTCAAAGCTCTTGACTTGCTTTGGTAATAAGTGATAGCCAAAACAATCGCATTATTTACTTATCAAGTTAATCTAATGAACAGTTATCACGTCTTCCTTGTCCATATCTTGCTTAGTTTTTTTGTTCCTTTTAAAAATTAAAAATAATTAAAAATTGTAGCATGTTATTATTTGGTGGGTTTTAATTGATTGATGGCTCTCATTGAGTCCTGATAATCCAAAAGTAAATAAATTGTTACTTCAAGGTAAAAGACTCCTGTATGGATGTGGTAGATTTTTCATATGATAATTGATTAATGGTATTTTCACACAGTACAGATCACCCTTTTCTAGGATAAAATGATTTCAAAGGTAATTATTCTGATATTTTGAGCCTTGTGATACTTGACAGTGTTCATATAAACTGATAGTTGAATTAATATTAGGGGTGTAAATCTATTACAGTCGCTCTTAGGAGTAAGTATACTATGTTGAGCTCTCTCATATGATAAAATACAGCTTAGCCTTAGAAGTATACCTTACATCTGTGACTTATAAATAGCAATAAATTGGGTGGAGCTTCTGTGTACCATTTCCGTCACAGGAAATAAGAATTGCTAAGCTAATAGGACAAGTGTTGTTTGTCATTTTCCTCTATTTAAATCATTTCAAACTTTTTCAAAATGTAGATTTCATTCATTTCAAACACTAGATTAAAACACCTTAAAGTGTGTAAAAAAAGATTTTTTTAATCCATTTCAAGTCACATTGAAAGTAATACAATGGCATTTGTTTTTTTTTAAAATCACTTTGCTAATTTATATTTTCACTCATTCAGCCAGAGTCAGGGTATGCATGTATTTGTTTGTTTTATTGTTTGTTTATTTGTATAGATGAGAATGACCTTGAACTTCTGATTTTCTTGCCTCAGCCTACACAGTGCTGAAATTAAGGCAAGTGCCATCCTTTCTGGTTTATATCTTGCTGGAATTCAAATCAATACCTTGTACACTTAAAAATGCATTATTATTATTATTATTAATCCTACCATCATCATCATTATTAATATTATTGTTATCATGTATATTTACCTGAGTCCAGATGCCTGGATGCCTGTGAAAGCCAGAGGCATCAGGTTCCTTGGATCTTGGAGTTAGTTGTGAGCCACCTGATGTGAGTGCTGGGAGCCAAGCTTGAATACTCTAGAAGAGCATTACGTTCTCTTAACTGCTGAGTTGTCTCTCTAGGCATCAGAGTATTCTGATCATACAGACACCTTAACTTATGAAGAGGTTATAGTCTGAAAATCTTACTGTAAGTCAATAATATTTTTTACATGCACTTAAGAAGAATGAGCATCATGTGTAATTGTGTGGCGAAGACAGGTGGCTTTCTATGAGTTTGAGGCCATCCTGGTCTACAAAGTGAGCTCCAGGTCAGCTAGGGTTTCATAATGTCTGGTTCAGTGGGTAGAGTGCTTGCTATGATAACTGGGTTTCTTAGCGCCCATATAAACTGTAAATAAATGGGTGCCTTTAATGGCAGCATTCAAGAGCTTAAAAGATCCCTGGGGCAAGCTACATATATCTATACTAGCTGGAGTTGACCAGCTATGGGTTCAGTGAGAAACTTTAAATAAAATGGAGGGCAATTGAGGAGATCAGTTGGTGTTAACTTTGGGTGTCCATACAATGTACATATACCCATATCCACATATTTAACTACAAATATGCCATTGTATGTGTGTGTGTATGTGTGTGTGTGTGTGTGTGTGTGTATGTGTGTGTGTGTGTGTAAACACATATGCCAAAAAAAAAGTAAGAGTAAAAAAATTCACTTAATGAGAGGTGCTGTGTTGGTAGATGTGTGTTGCCCTCTGGAGGACCTCCTTTTGATCTGCAGAACCTGTGTTTAAAAGGAGCTTGGGAGTGGTGGCCTGTGGCCATAATCCTAATTAAGAGAAGGTGAGGTCAAGTAAATCACTGAGTCTTGGTGGTCTGCCAACCTGCCTAGCCTACTTGGCCAATTCCAGGTCACTGAAAAACCCTGTCTCAAACAAAGCATACAGAATATCTGAGGGATGATAGCCAAGGTTCTCTTTGGCCTCTCCTACACACATACACAAGCACACATGCATGCATACCCATACACATACATGTGCATCTGTGTGCACACACATACACATAATCCTTTTAGCATACCTAGTTTATTGATCACTGTGGTTTAGCAACGGTATACTCTATACACTATGGGGTATTTACCTTTGTGATCTAGTGGCTAACTGGAAGCTGCTGCTTGCTGCCGCTTCCCAAAGAGCCCAGCCTCTCATCTTCTTTGTGTTGCTTGGTGAAGAAAAGATTAACATCATATTTTGAGATACACTTTCTACTGAATGTGTATTGCTCTCGTACTATTGTGAAGCTGAAAAGAAACATCAGTCAGACCATTTTAGTCAAGGATTATCTTAAGATTGTCATACCTTTGACTTTAAAGTCTATACAACTCTGAGTGATGCAGTGTGTACATGTCGTCCTGGGTACTCAGGGAGTTGAGGCAAAGAGGAGAGCTTGAGCCCAGGGTTTTGGTGTAAGCCCACAAGCATAGTGAGACCCTCCATCCTTTATATAAATAAGGATTTATTTATTTATATAAATAAATGTTAAGAAAGCTGCACAATTCCTCATTGTTTATGATGAGAAACGTTTATTTAAAACAAAGTAAGGTGAAGATCCAAACTACATATTCTGCTATTTATCTGTTCATCTATCTATCTATCTATCTATCTATCTATCTATCTATCTATCTATCTATCTATCTATCTATTTATTTGAGATATAGTCCCACTATGTGGACCAGGCTAACCTTAAACTCACAGAAATCCCCTTACTGCTGTCTCCTGAATGCTGGACTTAATATATTTATATATCTTTTAAATGACTTATCTTTTTGCTTGCCTAGAGACCAATGAACCATTCCATCCAAGCATGTAAACTGAATCTTTCCTTTCTAGTGTTCCACAGTGTATCTTCTAGTGTCTGTTAAGTCAGATGAGCAGTTACTTGCTAATTTGGCTGATAAATGTATTGAATAAATGTTATAATTCTGAGTGTTATAACTATAGTTTCATATCCTGGTTTATCCTATTTTGTCTCTTGATTCCTAGCACTTGGGAGGTAGCAGCAGGTAGATCGTTGTGAGTTCAAGACTAGTGTAGATAGTGAGTTCCAGGTAGATCACTTCCTAATAATCAGGGAGCACCTGTCTCCAGAAACAGAAAAAGAAAAACTTTTCCCTTTGGCCGATTTGCTTTAAGATTTACTTTAAGTTTTACGGCTTAACAGTCATTGAGCATGTTGGCTACGTAACTAAGCTTCAGTTTCTAGTAGATGCTGTTAGTGGAAATAGAGGAAAGGCTTTCCATTAGTTTGAGTTTTGAAGCATTTAACCAAATGGAACTTTTGACTTATACAGTGTGCTTGCATATTTGTGTGTGAATACACGAGTATGCCATGGAGCACATGTGAGTAACCTGACATGGGTGCTGGGAACCAAACTCAGGTCCTCTGGAAGAGCAGACGACTTAACCACAAAGCCGTCTCTTCAGCTTGGATCAGAGACTTTTAAGATGGATTCTTAAAAACTTTATTTTTTTAATTTTATGTGTATGGGTGTTTCATCTGCTTGTATGG